ACATGACTCTGAGCAGGCATGAATGCTGAATCCAATTTCTAGAAGGAAATGGTCTGACCATGACCAAGGCACTGGGTCATCAGTCATCTGGGACAGACCCGTGATTCTTGTGACTGATTAGATATGGAGGCAGACCAAGAGAGGCTATCTACCCAGAAACTACAAAGCCACTACCTACTATCATGGCCAAGCTTAATGCAAGATCAGACACAATTTCTGTCAGTGAAGCCAAAAAGCTAGCCAGCATTACTAGCCAACGTATTTTAAGTAGCATCTGTTTATTTACATTGTAATATATATATTTTTAAAAAGCATTTGTCATTATTTATAGTATCTATGTTCTATATTTTTCAGCTCAGACAATGAAAGTAAGTTTCCCCGGCAGGTCCTTATCATGCCAAGGCTCAACTAACTCATTACAAGGGAACACCGATTTGTTTTTAAGCATTTCTAGTAGAACTTGAAGAAACATCCACAATTCTCTTTTAAAATGTAAGCTTGGGTTTTGTGAAAACCTTGCTTTCACGGTATAATAAATTTAACACTATCAATTTAAAAGATCAGGCAGTTATACAAGTCTATACCTTAAAGAGCCAATTTATTATAAGGGTAGAAAAAAAACAAACAAAACAAAAAACACTCCTTCCTGAAAAAAAAGCATCACCTAATGTCACTGTAAACAGAAGATAAAAAAAAGTGTTTATCTACTTTGTGCATTTCTATATTTTCAGGTCCATCACTGAGTTGGCCACTTCTCCTGCTTGTGTGGTCATGCAATGGGAAGGAAAATAAGTTTACAAAACAAAACATGCTATTGAACAAGGCAACACAGAGACAGGTGTAGGACCTAAACCCACCCTTTCATTTTTTAAATTGACTAAATTTAACAGTAACAAGGTCAGGTGTTTAATGTCCACTTAAAAAACCACACAAAAAGCTGACAGTCCAAGTGCATTTTCTACATGCTAACTTAACCCACATATGTACGGAAACTGATTGGGAACACTGACTTGCACATGCACAGGCCAAACTCCCAGACATCAGGTTCAATATAAGCCTATGTACATCCAAAGATAACACCAGGTGTGAGCACATCTCTTCAAGTGTGCAGGCAAACAGCCTCAGTAAGAAACTGCTTAGAGCACTGCCACCACTACCAGCTTTGAACTGAAGGAAATGTACACTTGTTAAAAAGAGCCATTCCAGCTTCTGACCCTTCTTAATAAAGGATCAGCAGGGATACATTGCAGCATTTCCCCAGACTGCACTGTCCTGTGTACACACAAGAGGCAGCAAAGGAAAAACAAAACCTACTTTTAGCAGCTTCCAGGTCCCAAATTCGAATGGATCCCGACTGAGACCCAGCTAGAATGAGCTCTTCATTTGCACTGATCCTCAGGCTCTCCACTGGCGTTGTATGGCCTGTCAAGCTCTGCAAAGAAAGTTAACAGCCGCATTCAATGGATTTGAGGCCCAACTTCTAGAAGACCCTGATCCAAGTCAACAGGATACAGGCTGACTTGGATATGCTCTCAAGGTGGGCTGACCAAAACCGGATGGCTTCCAATGTTGAGAAGTGTAAGATGCTGCACCTTGGTAGGAAGAACTCTCAACATACTTACAAGCTCAGCAGTGCTATGCTCGCTAGCACCATGACCAAAAGAGACTTGGGGGTCCTGACTGACCACAAGAGGAATATGAGTCACCAATGCAATGCTGTGGCTGGCAAAGCAAACCAAACTCTGGCGTGCATCTACCAATGCATCTCAAGCAAAACCAGGGACATCACCCTTCTGCTTTTCTCAGCCTTGGTGAGGCCGCAGTTGGAGTACTGTGTCCAGTTTTGGGCCCCCCTTTCAGGAGGAATGTGGAGAAGCTTGTGAGAGTCCAGAGGAGAGCCACTTGTATGATCCAAGGCCTGGAGAGCCTGCCGTACAAGGAGAGGCTGAAGAACTTGGGACTCTTCAGTCTGGAAAAGAGAAGGCTGAGGGGGGACTTGGTAGCAGCCTACAATTATATAAGAGGGGTACATCAGGACCTGGGAGAACAGCTGTTCACCAGAGCTCCCCAAGGGATAACAAGGTCTAATGGCCATAAACTCCAGGAAGGCTGATTTAGACTAGACATAAGAAAAAAGTTCTTTATGGTGAGAGTGTCCAGGGTTTGGAACAGACTTCCCACAGAGGGCGCAAGCACCTACTCTGGACTCTTTCAAAAAACATCTGGATATTTTTCTTGCTGGGATCACTTGATCCCAGCTAACTTCTTGCCTATGGCGGGGGGGCCTTGACTCGATCTCATGAGGTTCCCTTCCAGGCCCTAATGTTTATGAAATCTATGAAAGTAGGAACATCTGCCACAAAGATACCTGGATGGAATATTAAGGCTGTATCTACTCTGCAACTGTTACTCAAGAGAGCAGTTAATCAGCAACATGAGCAGCTCTACACATAACTCAAGTCTAATACTTGGCTAGTAATTATGGGATTTAACATGTGCTGCTCCTGCCAGAGTTCTATGCTGTAACCCACAAGTGTCACAGATGCAGCTGCAGAGCCCTGTGATCCAGTCCACAGTACTGCCTGTGGGTCTTGGATCTGCTTTGTGTTTTTCATGAGTCACACGGACCTGGTTTGGTGTGTGCTACACCTGGGGTTGGAGCCAGTGTGCACACTGCACATGGTGCACAGGACCAGTCTGGGGCATGCACTGTATGACACACCTTCATCAGATCAGCCCTGCATGCTGTATTTAGCCAGCAACACTGGTCTGTGAGACCAATCTGGCCCATGGACCAGCCCCATGACCCATATCTGGCTTGTGGGGTTGGATGAATTTGATACCCCTGTAGTAACTAGCATGTTTTTCAATAACACAGACAAGACTTCCTAACTATGTAGCCAACTTGGCTGGCCCTTCTTCTATCAGTCCCCAGAATGATGTATTACTTGAAGGGTACTGCACCAAGAACTACAGAACATCCTCCATGCTCTGTCTTGCTGAGATACTCTTAGACAATCTCCCAAATTATTCCAGAATACATGGATATAAACCTGGGTAGTTACAGGGAAGGTGTGGATACTTAAGTCAGGTCTCCTTGCTGACACTGTAAAAATCTGCTGTATAGACACAACTACACTATGCTTATTCTAAATGGTTTGCAAGAGTGTCATGACCTGGTGGCAAAACCACACCTGTACTTAGAGTGACTAGTTAAAAGCCTTCTTGCAAGCAACAAGGCACATGCTGCTAACCAAGAGTGGTTCAACAGTGAAGTATCTGCATGATGCAACATGCAATGATTCCTGAGTAAACAGTACTTTTCATCCTCAAGGACCTGAAAGTTTTTACTTATTTACAATTTATTTAAATACTGTGGCTGCAGGGAAGCATTTTAAAACAAAAACACATCACAAAAATATTGAAAATCATTCTAGTAATCTAGTTATTGTGCATAAGATTAGAGGTGCACTAATACACTGATCCCATATCAGACCGGCACCAATATAGGGAAAACAGACAGCATCAGCAACTGGCTTTCTTTGCCTGATGTGGCCAATAAATGCCCTGTGCATGTGCTCAGCTGCAGCATGCATGTGGTCAGGAGCACAGCCTGGTGGCTTGGACGGCAGTATTGGCTGTTAAGTCTGTCGTGGGGGAAGGGAAGGGGCAGATCCAGGCTCCTGCAGCAGGGGAGGGAGTAGGGCTGGGACAGGGCGGAGCCATGAGCATGCTGGGGGGGCAGCTCCCACTGCTGCGTGCACCCCTGGAGGGCATGTGGGGCCTGTGCCCGCCAATATGCGCATGGGACAGGGAGGCTGCCATTGTGGGCTGGGACCAGGCTAGCGCTGGGCTCTTCCTGGCAGGGGGTTGGGCTGAGGCTGCACTTGGGACAGGTGGTGGCAGCACTGGGAGTGGGGTTACAGGGGGACTACAGCAAATGTTGAGGTGGCTGCAGCCCCGCCCCCCATAACCCTCCTTCCAGCGCTGCACCTGCCCCGAGCACAGCCTGACCCAGAACCCCTCTGCAGCCCTCAGCTGCAGCCTGCCCTTACCCCACGCATAGATCTGGAGGGCACATGCCCCACATGCCCACCTGGGGTGTGTGCAGCAGCGGAAGCCATCCCCCCACCACCCCGATGAGCCGCTTGCAGCTGTTTCGCACTGGCTGAGCAGTGCCTGCCCCAGCCCCACTCCCTCCCTCACTGTGGGGGCCTCAATCTGCCCCCACTCCACGCCCCTTCCCTCCCACCACTCCTTCTCCCAAAACAGACTTACCAGCCTGACACTGGTCTCCAAGTTGCCTGGCTGCATATTGGAATTGGATTGGTATTGGCTGATATGGCTCTTTAAAAATCGGCCACTGGTATCAGCCCAAAAAATCTCTATCAGTGCACCCCTACATAAGATTATTATTAGGTATTTTTGGAATTACTAAACCAATACTGTTATTCCATGCTCTAATATATGTGTTAGCTGTTCCTAGCACAAGTCCCTTGAATAATTCAAACCTATTCTATTTAAGCCACATGCCATTCCCTGACATTTCCTTTATAAGTTAAAACCCAACTGTCCGAATGTAATTTGGTTAGGGGTGAGGATCAGGTAGGAAGTTAAATCAGTTTGGGATTGCACTTCTGTAAGATTGAAGCTATTACAAGGATCAGAAAGCTCAAACTCAAATTAAGGGTTACAAAGCTTCTTGGAAAAAAATATCACTCGTCTCCCTCTGACAAACATTAGGAGTTGTGGCAATTTAAGTTACTAAACAAAACCAAAGATGCAAACAAAATGTTTCCAAATCACAAAGCAGAAAACCTTGGTGATTACAACTGCCCATCCCTCTCTACCGTCTGCAAAAATGTGTTTTATTAAACAAAACAACACTAGAAGAGGTTCTGCCTCTTCTCTTCCCTGGAAAATGCAGCCTGTTCGGGGGTACAGAACTGGGGCTCTGGTTCTCTCTGCTCACATCAGAAGGGTAAAGAAATGGTCAATCTTATGCCTCCACCATTGGATAAAGGTGCTTGTCTAGATTCATATTGCTGTGCCATCATCAAAAAAATTCTGTAAAGACTTTGCTTAAGTCTTCAAAGAAAGAAGTCCAGTGCAGTTAATAAGGACAAGAGACTTCTTGTATACATAATAAAGTAAGAATATTCAAAGAAAGAAAGATTGTTTCATGAAATGTGCATATGACCACCTGGGTGACTGTGATCATCGCCTGCTGGAATTTACTATCCAGCGTAGGGCGATGAAAGTAAGAAGTAAGGCAAAAGTCCTTGACTCCAGGAGGGCTGACTTCAATGAACTAAGAAGATTAGTAGGAGAGGCACTGGGGTCTCAGAGCTTCAATGAGATGGGAGTTCAAGACGGCTGGTTGTTCCTCACGGAGACAATCCTCTGGGCTCAAAGGGAGTCAGTCCCATTGTGTACCGAGGGGGGCAGGAGTGCTAAAAAGCCCCCATGGCTCGGCAGAGGCATCCAGGGATGCTTGAGGGCAAAAAAAGGAGGAATACCAGCAAGGGGCTATCACCAAGGAGGATTATACCTCTGTTGCTCGTGACTGCAGGGAGGCCGTTAGGAAGGCCAAGGCAGAGATGGAGCTAGGGCTAGCGACCAGAATTAGGGATAATAAAAAGTCCTTTTTCAAATACATAGGGAGTAAGAAGGCACCAGGTGACATAGGGCCCCTATAGGACAGGCTTGGCAATCCGGTGATTGCAGCAAACGAAAAAGCTGACCTCTTTAACAAATTCTTTGCCTCCATATTTCTGAACAGGGACTGGGACATCTCCCCCACTAGGATTACGGATGGACCCAGGGGAGGCACTGCCATGCCTAGGGTCAGGGATGACCTAGTTAGGGAACTTTTGGAGGGGCTGGACATATTTAAAATCAGCAGGGACAGATGCTCTTCATCCGAGGGTACTGAGGGAATTGGCGGGGGTCATAGCAGGGCCCCTGGCACGGCTGTATGAATGCTCGTGGGGCTCTGGCCGGGTACAAAAGGATTGGAAGAGGGCCAACGTGGTCCCCATTTACAAGAAAGGGAGGAAGGAGGACCCTGGCAATTATAGGCCAGTCAGCCTCACCTTGGTCCTTGGAAAGACCTTTGAGAAAATTAACAAGGAACACACCTGCAAGGGCTCAGCAGGGGAGGTAATGCTCAGGGGCAACCAACACGGGTTCATTGAGGGAAGATCCTGCCTGACTAACTTGGCTTCCTTTTATAGTCAGGTCACAAAGTCCCTGGACAAGGGCGTCAAGGTGGATGTCGTCTTCCTGGACTTTAAGAAGGTCTTTGACACTGTTTCTCACCACATTCTCCCAAAAAACCGAAGTGACTGCGTCATCGATGCCTACAGAGTCAAATGGGTGGCAAATTGGCTAGATGGTCACACCCAGAGAGTGGTGGTGGATGGGTCATTTTCAACCTGGAGGGATGTGGGCAGTGGAGTTCCCCAGGGTTCGGTCCTGGGGCCTGTACTGTTCAAGATCTTTATCAGCGATCTGGATGCAGATGTGGAAAGCATGATATCCAAATTCGCTGATGACACCAAGATGCGGGGCGACGTGAGCACGCTGAAGGAGAGAGACAGAATCTAGCTAGATCTAGACAGGTTACAGAGGTGGGCGGGTGAGAATAGGATGGAATTCAATGCAGAAAAGTGCAGGGTACTGCATCTAAGGAGAAGGAACCAGCAACACACCTATAGGCTGGGGTATACCCTTTTTGTCAGCACAATGGCAGAAAGGGATCTTCAATGCTGACTCCAGGATGAACATGAGCCGCCAACGCGAGGAAGCAGGCAGTAAGGCTAACCGCACCTTGTCGTGCATCTACAGATGCATCACAAGCAGGTCCAGGTAAGTGATCCCTCCCCTCTATGTGGTGTTGGTTAGGCCACAGTTGAAGTACTGTGTCCAGTTCTGGGTGCCGCACTTCAAGAGATGCGGCTAGCATTGAGAGGGTTCAGAGGAGGGCCACTCACATGGTCAAGGGGCAGCAGGTCAGGCCCTACGAAGAGGCTAAAGGGCCTGAATCTGAATTCAGCCTCCACAAGAGAAGGCTGAGAGGGGATCTCGTGGCCATTTACAAACTCACTGGGGGGGCCAGTGGAAATTAGACAAGACTCTGTCCCCCGGGTACCACAAGGGTTTACTAGGAATAACAGCCACAAATTGTTAGAAAGAAGGTTCAGGCTGGACATCAGGAGGCATTACTTTATGGTTACGGCTGGCCGGGGCCGGGAAGGGCTCCCAAGGAAGGTGGTGCTCTCTCCTACCTTTGGGGTCTTCAAGAGGAGGCTGGATAGATATTTGGCTGGGGTATTATGACCCCAGCACTCATTTCTGCCCGGCGCAGGGGTTTGGACCTGATCATCTGTTTAGCTCCCTTCTGACCTTAAGCACTATCATACTATGAAAGAAAAAGGGGAAACAGTCTCCCTTCGGTATCCCTGCAGCAACACTCTGTCTAGCTTAGCTTCCACACCACCAAATCAAATAAACAGAGGCGGCAGCATAAATGAATAAAATATGTCTTTATGATTAGTACACGCTCAAGTCACCCTGTATTACTCTGGATATTTTACTCTAATTGTAGTGGAGTCTAGTATACTGTGCACAGATGCTCCCTCCCAATGAAGGATCAACTCCATATGCCATTTCAACACACTGATAGACAATGGACGCATCTACACAAGATGCTTAATGCTCAGAAGACTAATTCTACTGCGCGCTAGTGCAGCAGGCAAAACACGTACTAATCTTCTAGTGTGCAGTAGATTTAGTCTAATGCACATTAACATCACTAAAAAAATCCATCTCCACTAATGTAGAGTAGCGCCGATTACGGTACATTTAATACCCGTCAATATAGGTACTAAACTTAATGCACCATAATTGCAGTGCATTAATGAATGTGTAGATGCGTACAGTGAATATGAGGCAGATGACCATCATAAATGTTGAGCTATAAAACAAACTGACCTGCCCTAAAATTAAGCATTTAATTATTTGTCATGCAGTAACAACAGAACCAAGATTTATTAACTGGGTAAATATAAGGCCCATATGAAATTCAAGTGGTCAGACATCCTGGATTGTTTGAAGAAAAACTACGAAGCAGATTACTGTTCCTTTTTCAAGTCAGATTCAGGTCAGTCTAACTCATGCTGGTATTATGCATTCAGCTGCACTGATATGCTATGGATCAGGTATGAACCCTATCACCCCAACCTTGCAGCTTATGCTTGTACCCCCAAGCAAGCTGAAAACCACCCAGCTCTTACCATGATGCAGTTGGGCTTGTTAACTGACCAGATATTGACTCGACAGTCATCTCCTCCAGTTGCAAGCAGTCGACCTGAACTTTTGCCCAGAACCAGTGAAGACACATTGCTGCTGTGAGCTATGATCTCTTCTGTATAAAACAAAGTGAACAAATTATCACTACAAACAATTCTTCTTGTATAGCTCCCCCATAAGAAGCTAAGAACCCTTGTTCTTCACAATGACTTCCCAGTTTCCACTAGACAAGCTGCAGCAACCTAGTGTTTAGATAAGAAACCATGCTACATATCTTTCCTGCAACAGCTGCTCTTGGCTCTGTAAGCTCTATTTTCTTTGCAGTGTCTGCTGATCACCCTTTATGATCCTATTCTAGTCAGTGTGGTTACCAATGACTGGCTTCTCTCACTAGTAGCAGTTCAAGAGCTTTTAGAAAGAGAATTTGATGGGCTTCAGCATAATGCTTACCAAAGCTACTTTACCTGTTAAATCTGGATCCACTCTCTGGACAAGATAAATTGTCACAGAAGCTGACATTGTATGAAGCAGCTACCAGCCATTTAAAGGAAGACTCCCTAATGCTGTCTTGGAGAGTAGAAGTGAAGACTACCCTGCTGCAGCCAAACTGGCAGATTAGTAGTAGTGCTGCATGCTATCTTACAGAGAAAAAATAGACTCAGCACCTGGTATAGGTGGAGTTCCTGTCTACTAAGGCTTTGGCAGAGGTTTTGTCTGTGTTCTCACTATGTAACACAGGTGAAGCAGAACAATACAGTAAGCCTGTGGCAGTGACAAAGGATTTCCTTATTGGAAAGATGAAGAGGATTATGTTTTATGGGGATGAATGTGAAAATGGGGGCTAAAAAGAAAGACTGCTTATGAAAAAAAAGGAAAGTTTCTTTTATGAAAACTGTGAGAGAGACAATAGTGCAGGAACTTCCCAAGCACTCCCGAAAGAGAGAAGTCCACAATGAAGGAGAAGAGGAAATGAGATCAAACTATGTTTGCATAGACAGATCTATTTTAGTTTTACATCAAAGGACATTTTAACCCACCCAAAGTGCTGGCAGGTATATTTATCAATTCTCTATGTTAAACCCTCAAAGTTTTTGTTTTTTTAAAGAACATTATATTTGTATAAAATTGGTTATGAAATGTGTTTATAGAAATATTAGGTAGTAGCTAATCCAGGCTTCATTTTGATAACAGGGTGTGGGAAGCAACTCACTCAATAACAAGTGTCACTAATCCAAAAGGATGGTAGAGAGCAGGAATAATAAAATAATTATATGCACTTTGATCTGAGATCTCAAAGCACCCTCCTGAAAGTGAAACTATGCAAGTTTCATATTAGCTAGAGAAACATCTTTCATGTTACAACTGTAATTAGGTCATTAATTAAATGAGGGAGAAGGGACACTTGCTGAAGATGTACTTACACTACAGTGAAAGACCTACGTGACAATACAAAACCTCAGTATATTTGTACGCAAGGAATGAAAAGTCATAAACAATACTAGCTCAATAAATTTTCCTTTGGTGTTAGCGGACTCACTGACTCTTAAAGACTCAATGGTGCACGTGCTGAAGGCTATTATTGTGAGGTGTCAGCAGCTCCTCTTTGATAGCATAACAATTTGCTACAATTTTCAAGAGTCTTTGAAGCCTTCATCCCTTTGATTATAAATATCACATTATAACTTTTTACTAGTGGCACCCTGTCTCTCTAAAGTGCTGACTTCCTTAAACCTCTAAACTTTTTCATGGGGTGCTATTACATACTGGCTCAGCAACCTTAAACTGGTAATTATCCTGATGAAATCTTTTTCTATCACTCAGAATTCTTATGATGAAGAGGATGCTAGAACAGGGTAAGGTATAGTCATATTAAAAATGAAGAATTTAGATTCTCTTCTCAAATGAAATTGACTGTAGATCTGAAACTGACCGTGCACTTGTTTTTCCAATAAGGTATGACTCCCAGAATTTGAGAAGAGGAAGTGAGGACAGTCTTTTTTTTGCCTGGAAAGTATTAACAGAAGTCCTACCCAATAATGGGCATACAGCGAGGACAGGCACTATACAGGCTCTGTTAATACACATTAGCTAGCAATATACCATTACTATATTCCTACTAATCCATTTCTGGATCTCCAACAGTTACCACACAGCACATATTTAGAAAAAAACAACTGCTTCCTATGCCTCCTACCCATTCTTGGCAACTAAATATAATTTGCCACAAGGATCCATTCTTCTGTTCTGTCTTGGGCATCCCACAGCTGCTTTATCACTCTATTGCTTTATCACTTGTGTTCAGAGACACAAAAAAGCAAACAATTAGAACCTGATAAACCTGCTCTGCTGGCACCAGAGACAGTATCAAGAGGGGATGGTATACACGTCTAAAGGATCATCTTGCCCTTCCAAATGTGGTTCAAGAAACTACTGCACTTGTAGTCACATTGAAGGCAACAGTATAAAACAACCAAAAGAGACAACTGATACCAGACATGCATCACATCCCGTGGCAGAGCTGGTGTCTGTGAGGGGCTCTAATCTGCTGCCCAGCGGTTCCTGTATAACATTAAAATAATCTGGAAACATATTGTTTGCCTGAGAAAAAGAGTATGAGAATGAACCTAAAAAAATCAGAACTTAACAACTATTTTCTGATGACAGAAAGAGGAATTCCCTATACTTTTCCTCAATTTTCTTTCTAAGAGATGTGGCTGACAACACCTGGTGGCACCTGAGTGTCCTATCTAACAAAGGAGGGGGATAACCACCGTAAGCGATACTCACGCAGCTTCCAAGCTGTCTTGGTGGCAACAGAAGCTGCCATTTCCAACTCTGGCTACTTGCTGGTGGCCACAGATGTGCCCTCGCAGAAGCAATGGTTCACTTGGCAAATCGGTTTCTGTGGGGCTCAACCCCACAGGCCTCAGCTCCTGCTCTTTGGGCTGTTCCGCCGCATTTGGGCTTCTGCAACTGGTCTTTTGAAGGTCAGGCACGGTTGTATCTGGACGGTGGGTCTAGCCAATGGGTCAGATCTCAAGCTCTGTCTTCACCTTGCTCTGCATCAGCATGGCAGCTGCCTGGAGGGGGAAAAAGAGAATTTGTCAGGCGATGTCATGTGATAGACGAAGCCCTCAAGAAAGACTCTCCTGGCCAAGCAATGCCTGTCTGCATGGCAAGGAGCAACCAGGCCAGTAGCTAGTCCCTGCCTAGAAGCAAAACAGATGTGGTGCAACAGGCAGGTCAACTGGACCTGGCCACGCTCCAGTTGCTGTCATTGGTCTACTGACAGTGGCGGAGTGGCAGCTCCAGGGCTTGACCCTGGACAAGC